TCCTCTCTCTGAGGCTGAACAAAGGACAGAGAAGCAGGCCTCTGGGCTGGGCCTGTCTGTAGGGGAGGAGGGACAGAGGATGGGTGTAAACAACACCGGCCTGCCTACACCCCGCAGGCAAGGTTGCTCCGCCATATGGCCTGATGGCGGCAGGGTCTGGGTATTCCTGTGCGCCGTGGAGAGGGCTGTCGTGGGTCTGAGGCACAGGCAACATGGAACCTGGATAGGTGTTCCCGCCAAGCGTATAAATTATTAACCGTACTGGATCGGATGTCCTCCAAGTTACTAAACATGCATCAGCAAACAAGAGCGTAACGGGAATATGATAGGGCCTCGCCATGGTCCAACTACTTATTCGATACTTCCACCTCAATGGGGAGGCTGTTTCCACTTTAGTGGGCATATTGATGCAGACAAGGGGCTTACGCTTGTGGATTTAATGTTTCAGAGACGCTGATATTCAGGCTCACTGAGTAACAATTCCACTTTACACTCCAATTACAGTGCTGTGTTGCAATACGAAACTGCATCGCAGCTCAATACCATTTATGGGATATTTGATCAGAGGAGATGTTGGAGAGACCTTTGGCATCTCCACTCTCCCCGGCCATTAATCATCTAACAATCTTGATAATCAATGGATCGGCCCAGATCCTCTCTTGCACACTCACACCTGCCAACTTCCCCTCCAGCGATGAGGTCGTTTCATTGGTTGACTGCAGACGTCAGCATGGTGTGAACATACTAATCCCAACATTCGGATTCGAAAACCGATTTAATGGAAATGACGTTTGTTTGTTTTTTATGACGTTGTTAGAAACGATTAGCCAGCTCCAAGGTGCAGCAGAGCAAGCAGGCAATAATTATGTTGTGCATGTACAGTTGCACTTCACAGCTGCCGATATTTTGTGTGTTTGCTAATGCCAGCCAGAGCATCATGGACAACTCCCACATTTGCATAGCATCTGAATTTGCAGGAAGCAACCAAATCAGCCGAGATGACACAAACGATAACTCTGCCAGGGATAGATAAAGCCTCAGAATCCGCAGTAAAGACGTCGTCTTTATGCGTCTTTTTTTCGCAGCCACAAATAGAACGAGCTGCAAAACTTCACTATAAATATCATTAAGGAACGTGTGTGTTCTGTTGCGGGACAGGCAAGATGCAGTTGTGTACTTCTTTTTATTGGCATCGCACTGAGCGGTCTGCGTATTACGTAGGTATAACTTAGAAATATAAAGAGGAAGCAGAACAGTCTGAGAACCGGTAGAACATGTAGAAAGCAACATGTAGAAACCCCCTGGTTCTTATCAAGCAAAGGCCGTTGCTCGTAAAGCGTTATACAGAGTCTGCGCTCTTCATGCGGTTTAGACAACATGTCACACACTGCATTATTATCCTGTATTAGAACCACGGTGTTAGCCCGCTAACAACACTAAATCCGTTCCAGCAATTAATTCAAGCTGCTCCATGTAGACATGAAGCACTCAGAGTCTAATAGCAAATAACGCACGGTGCATTGCGCAGTTATGACAAAATGTGTCACTTTAAAACTCAACAGCAATTCCCTCAAAATATACAGGCACTAACAAAACTAGGAAAATTACACGCATCAGGTTTATCCCGTGCACAAACTAAAAGGCGTAACTGCATGGACAGCAGGAGCTTTTCTTATGAGCTGCTTATGAGCGCAATCCTTCCGTGCAGTAGATGGAGACGCAACAAAGATGTAAACCGTGCCGCTTGTAGAGTTAGAAGTTGCGATCAAAAGACATTTTCTCAGTGCGCAGAATGAATGACAATACATACCATGTCGGGCGGTGTTGTGTGCTTGTTGGTCTGTAGAGGCAGACTAAGAGAGTGCTCGTTCCTTAGATGGAGTTCCACTAGCGGGTAAGGAGTGTGTATATTGGCCGTGACCAGAATGGGGATTGCCTGTGTGTATCCCTCCGCCGCACTAGCGCTCATTAACCACTTCCTTATTTCAATTCAGGGCTGTTGCAGCAACAGCAGCAGTAGCAGCAGCAAGTCAGGCCTCCAGCTGTCAATCAGTAGGCAGAAACGCCCGCAGTGCACGGACAGAAACATCCTTAAACTCACCTTAGACAGTTGAGCATCAGAACCACGATGGTGTACATAATGACCAAAGTAACATCTAGGACAATGACCTCAGAGACCCAGCAGTTAATGTCCCAGTATAGAAAGTGATGCCAAAATCATACAGTCATATACATACAAGAGATTGAATGTTAATTACATGTAAATTTGAGCCATAGCACATAAATGTTGATTGTGATGATCCTTAAATGTATAACAATAATCTCAGCCATGCACAGTGTTATGCAGTCAAATATGACTTGCAAAAAGCAATGTTTTATGTAGGTTGTTTGGCAGCATACTGAGAGCTTTTATGGTGGATAGATACTGCAGCAATAAAGCAATTAAAGTATAACTAAATTAGTTGGTTTGATGTTGTACTTAACGCACTAAACAAATAGAACTTCTTAGTAGAAAAAAAGGAGAAAAAAAAGATGAACTTTAAATGATTTTCTCTATATATATATATATACTGGATGTATGTGTGTGTAAGAAGTTATTTTTCATATTTGATTATTAAAACTCTTATTTTATTATTATGTATTATTTACAAACTGTGTAATTTCACCCCCATCAGTCGTATTAAACCCTAGACCAATATACCCTGGGCTTTAAGATATTAATTAACATTACTTAACTTGACTTGTGATTACGTAACTGGCGTTAGAAAATTCCAGGAAAAGAAAATTCTCTTCAGCAGGGAGCTCTAGTTTGCAGCCGCGGAAGGATTACAATCCAGTGTAGGCAGCAGCCTGGTTGACGCTGGAGAATTTGCTGTGCCGGTGTGTGAAGGAGTCTCTGATTGGCTGCAGCAGACCCGCAATATTGTACTCTATGTGTTGTGCTCGTTGATTGGTTACATCGGACCTGCATTGCACCAGGCAGTGGCACTTGATGGAAATACAATAAATATAAAAACAAGGAAGTTAAAAATTAGCGCAGGACGTCAACGGACTCGTTCATTTCTCTAATTATGTAGAATTTTCACGTCGAGAGGGATGGAAAAGGTGACACCAAGGCTTTCATTGGTGCGGATGTAATAGACTCCTTATGGGATGTGCGCAGAGTTTAGTGTTGACTACAATATGGCGGCGCATCTGCCGGTTGAGACAAACCGTAAAAAATCTCTGGCTAAGATGCATGCTTAACATCATGTAATTTATTGTTCACGTAGTTTAGGACTGCGAAAAACGAATGTGTACAACTGAAACTGTTCAGCCACCATAGTTGGCAGCAAAAGCTCATAGTATCGCGATAGTACCTACGAGGTTATCTGACAGAAAGCACCACTCCGTGGACAGTGTAGAATGTTGCACTATTTTCACAAATATAACAAAAATACCAACTATAATAATACTTTATATTATTATTTTTAATATTGTAATGTGTTTAAAACATTGCATAAAATTCTATTCAAATCATGTCATGATTTGATTGGAATGGTTTTAAAAATATTTTTTGTATAAATAGATAGATAGATACCTACTACTTCACAAACAATACTGTTGTGTGGATTTGATATAACATACATGTCCTCCTTGGTGGATAACATGACTAATTAGTGTCTGTGGCCCTAGTGGGGCAGTTCAGAAAACCCTGCTAGTTTTGTGTTCTAACATGCCATGCTTGATTTGAATTTTCTTTTTCTCCTCTCAACCTCTACCATTTGCTGAATGTGCGATGTACTTGTGCGTGACTGATTTAATGTGAGCAGGGGGCTGCAGTACGGCACAGCCTCCTTCTCCCTGATGCCTAAAGATGGCACTGTAAAGTGGTTCAACATTTGCTGCGAAGGGTCACTTTTAGAGATTTAATACACGCCATATATTATATCATTGGCACTTTTATCTGCATGTTAAACTGGAGCTCAGGAAACTTAGCTGACCATTAACTGTGCTTTAATGACTTGAATAAACTGGCAAAATATAGTCCCAGACCACACTTACCTCATCTTCTGTAATTGCATTTACAGAATCTTTAAAAACAAGTCACTGCAACTTTTCTCCTCTCTTTTAAGACATTTAACTTTGCACAATTGTCAATTAAACAGTAAGTTGCTGAGATTAAAAAAACTGATGAAAATGCAAAGTTTTAATCCTCCACATACATATGATATATGATGGTATTAGAGAACAAGACTGAATCAAGTAAAAGACAAGATAATATTTTCTTTGATAGAGAAGAGTGAGCTGTTGTGCAAAATGCATAGTGGGTAAAAAAGTTGTGTAAACGACACATCTGATTTGTCTTTGTTTTTTTGGCAATTTATTTAATATCTTGAGCAAATACAGGTAACCGGGAGAGTGGGATAAGTCAGACAAGACATGCACAAAATATATCAAAACTCTCTCTCTGGGAGAATACACAAAATCAGCTGCTGCCTCTTCTCTTTCACACAGGGACACACAAGGGTGAGATTAAGGGGGTGGGAGAACCAACAGTTTGAATGTTAGAGGTAGAGACCCTCGGGTGTGCCCTCTTGCTTCTTGTACAGGACATTTTCCTTGGATTTCTTGAAGTCTTCATTCGTGACTTTCATGCGGCGTTCCCGCAGAGCCATGAGTCCCGCTTCTGTGCAGATGGCCTGGAGGACACACAGAGGGGACAGAAACATGTGATGTGCACTCTCAATGACTTTATGTACTGTTTTAAAGTGTGGGCTCATTCTACTGCAATGTAAACCAAAATGTGGCATTATAAAAGGCCTCCACCCATTTAGTTGTATTATTAGGGATGCACCAAGTTCTACAGCAGTGACTTATAAGTTATGACAAAGGCCGTTTTAACATAAAACTGTTTGCTTCTTTGTTCATTGTAAGCTTTGACTAAATTCTGTATCGGCCCACGTGGGGACAGACTGTGTCAGAGACATAAAAAGCTAATTGTCAGGTGTCCTACAAAGACAACTTCACCTGGATTTTTTTTTCTGCTTTGCTGCTCACTACTGACACCTTGTGAGCACACAGTCACACAAGCCTGCGATATTTAGATCCAGGTCATTTACATTCTGCAGCCTTACAAACTCTTGTTAATACGATTCTGAAAACAACAATGACTGGAACAAGTCTTAAATTATAGGCCTTATAATTACATAGCTTCTAAGTTTATGTTTGGCTGCTGCAGCAGGTGGAAAACAAAGACAGTTTTGGTGATAAGAATCCTTTATCTCACTCTTACCTTGATGTCTGCTCCTGATAGATCATCCTTAGCCAGGATGAGGTCATCCAGGGTGACATCATCTGCTACTGTCATGCGGCTGGTGTGGATCTGGAAGATCCTTCTTTTGGTTTTCTCATCTGGCAAAGGAAACTCGATCTTTCGGTCAATTCTCCCTGAAGTAACAAAGAGGAGAAAAAGAGTGAGTAGCTGTATGAAAAGGTTTACAAGGTTTCTTATACCTAATATATATTAAGAAATTTGAATAAGAAAAATTCAACAATGCCAAATCAATTTGATATCATTAAAATCATCCCGCCATTTTAATGATGTAGTAAGTGGAAATTATTACATTTGGTACTTTTTGTCTAGTTAGTTTAGACTCCTACTGACCGGGCCTGATGAGGGCTGGGTCCAGGGTTTCTATCCGATTTGTGGCCATGATAACTTTTACATCTCCACGTGAGTCAAAACCATCCAGTTGGGTCAGCAGCTCCAGCATTGTCCTTTGGATTTCCCTCTCACCCCCAGAGTTGGAGTCATACCTGCATCACACATATGAGGACATTTATATTGACACACTTTTTGTTATTGTCAATTTATTTTTTAATGACTAAAGATGCCGAACTTCTAAAAGCACACCTCTTTGTTCCAATGGCATCAATTTCATCAATGAAGACAATAGAGGGTGCGTGTTCTTCTGCTACCCTGAAGAGTTCCCTGACCAGCTTAGGCCCATCTCCAAGGTACTTCTGGATCAGCTCTGACCCAACCACACGCAAAAAGGTGGCTGAAGTCTGATTGGCCACAGCCTTGGCCAGTAATGTTTTTCCTATAACCACAAAGCATTAGATTAACATCTTAAAGTGTTGTACAATGTTATTGTACGGGTAGTATGATGTATGGTTCTTTGCTTTCAGTTTTAGCCGAGAGGGAAAGACAATTGTCAAAAATGTCACTGTATGACCGTTTTTTGCTCTAAGAACTACTGTAGTAAAAAGTCTACTTAAAGTTACCTGTGCCAGGTGGTCCATACAAAATGACACCCTTGGGAGGCTTAATACCCATTTCTTCATAATACTCTGGGTGTGTGAGAGGCAGCTCCACTGACTCCTAAAGAATATACCAGAAAAAAGCATTATAAATCGTACTTGAAACAACAACATCTACAGGTAAAATCATGATGCAGGCAGGAACATGGGTTGCTACTTAATCTGGTCACAATAGAGGGAATCTTTAAAAACACATGTTTAATTTCCTTGCATTTTTTTAAGCTCATGTACCTTGATTTCCTGGATCTGATTGTCCAGTCCTCCAATGTCAGCATAGGTTTCTTGTGGAGCTTTTTCTACCTTCATCACCGTTACTAAGGGGTCAGTGTCGTCCATAAGCACTCCAATTACAGCATGAACCTTCATCAAATAGACATAGAAAATGGAACTCAGTCATTGTGAAATCACAAACTTATTAGTAACATTGTGTTATTTTATTGAGAAGAGCTAATACTAAAAAAAGGCCTGTGATTTAAATATTACCTTATGGTTCAGTAAGACAGAACAGCCTGGCTCCAGCAAATCTTTATCCACAAAAGACAGGATACTGACATAGTGCTCGGATCCAACTGATGTAGAAACAATTGAATGGTTGTCGTCTATAATTTCTTCTAGGGTGCCCACAGACATGGGTGTCCCCCTCAGGTCATCTACCTTTGACCTCTCCTCCTGTTGGTAAAAAAAAGGAGAATTTAGCATTCTTTATCAATCAAAAATAAAACATATAGCAGGAAGGCACCATGTCTGACCTCCTGTTTCTCTTCCAGTGGCTTCATCTGCTCCTGGTTTCTGATGAACTCCTCCTCCATCAGTAGGTAGTCTTTGATCCGCTCCTGCTTCAGCAGCTTCAGACGGCACTGAGTGTGAGGGGTGACTGGAAAAACAGCATATAAATATCATACTGAGGAAACATATGTACATGGAGGACATGTTTCCTTGTATTATTCAGTGCTTACCTAATGGTAGTTTACTGGCAGCATCTGGTCCCTTGGTCTTCTTCTTCTTCTTTCCAACCCTCGTGGGAATAGGAGGCTCATACTTCTTTTTCTTATCCTTCCACAGAAAACATTAGAAGTTATACTGTAAGAACCCTATTCCCAAAATGCAGAAGGACTTAAAAAAAAAATTATAAAAACCTGTCCCATTAGAAACAATCACTCGACACCGTGTAACATTTATACCATTATAACATTTGAGCAGTCCTACATATCACTGTTTACAGCGCATGTTCAGACAATGGCTATCTAAAGCTGTGTCACTCTCACCTTGTCATCCTTCTTGCCTCCTCCCGGACCGTGACCCCCGCTCTGGTTTTGACCCTTAAATCAAATGTAGACAGGTTAATTGAAGGTAATTAAAACAAACATGTCAATTCATGGTATCTTTTACACTGAATAGTTAGCTTGGTTGTTTACAAGGAAGATTGCTAACGTCACCGTGAACCAAACATAGCAGTCTATTGTTGTTTTCTTAAAAAAACAAAAGAATCAGTGAAATAACCGTCCACAAATGAATGAAAGAACATCACCATTGATAACTATGAGCGTGACAAATGCCTCGATCCGGCGAATGACTTGATTAACGGAGCAAAGTTATCGAAGCAGCTAACCGAGGAAAAAGCTAACGATGCTAATCGTCCGCTACCAGGCTGTTGTGTACTTGTAAATATAATGGAGACAACGTATAAAACCACAAAGGCAGCTACAAGTTAGAGAAAGATCGACCAACAAAGACAGAGTATCTGCACTACATTATATTGGTGAACGAAAGCAGTAAGTATAACAGATAAACGAGCTGTCGCAAAAAATTGCTTGCTCACTTACCATAGTTATTTGTCGCTTTACAATGACGCCAGCAAGTACGGCAACGCTAAAGGACAATATTACGAAGAGCAAAAGACTGCAAACGTTATTAAACGACGTAAAAATTCAGTTTTATTATTATTATTATTATTATTATTATTATTATTATTATTATTTTACTGTTATTAGAGACTAACAAGATAATAATATTAGGGACCAAAACCTAAAGAGTTTAAAGTGGTTTGTAAACTGTAAAGACTTTTGTGTTAAAGAGTGACATCCTGTGTGTTTGAGACTATGCTTCGTTTCTGTTTTTCTCTCAGCCCTCCTTTGGTGTCTTGGTGATGTCTTTTTTCCTCATAGTTTTAGTTTATTGTGATTGGTCTCATCACACCTGTTGCCCTGGGTTTATAACCCCCCACCCCCCCCAGTCCCCCACCCTCTCAGTAGTATTATTATGTTTATTATAATATGTATTATTATATTTATTATTATTATTACTGTTATTAAAGACAGTGTCTGCTTAACACTTACAAGGTAATAATATTAGTCACCAAAACCTGGGCCTAAAGAGTTTAAAGTGGTTTGTAAACTGTAGTCATAGATATTTAATATTGAGATGCTGCATATCTGCTCAATTTTTTCTGTAGTGAGTGAGATTGTGTGTGTGTGTGTGTGTGTGTGACGATGCATTTATTGCCTATACTATTCAATCTCTGAATATGTTGCTGTTCTTTAATGTTTTCTTTCTGGCAGTTTTAATTTTTCTATTGGCTTTGCCTCGTTAGTGTTCACTCGTCACACCTGTTGCCCTGGGTTTATACCCCCCTCTCTGTCTCTTTCATCATTTGCATATTGTTCTTGTGGCCCCTCATTCAATTGCTGCTGCTTGTGGTTCCTGTGATTATTGCAGCTCATCCAGGTCTTCCTGAGGACTGCATTTGTGTCCTGCCTGCTTCCTTGTTCTGCATAATGTGACAAGTAGTCTTCTGGTAAGTCTTTTTTTTTTTTTACCCCACATTATTCAGGCTATCTTTCCACTTCACCTGCTGGCAGTAGTTTCCCAGTCATTTGGCAGTAAACTGGCTCTTTACATGTACTTGAAGTCATCTTACCACCTGAGCAACTACTGCTATTTATTTTTTAATTCAAATGTCAAATATCTGTTGTTTCTATGGTGAATAACATTTCAGCCTCCCTTGTCTGTCTGAACAACAAATCATTCACTTTCAACACAACCATGCAATCAGTCACAGCTGTCGTGACAAAGGGATAAAGTGTGAGACTCAAAAGTTTACTTTGTCGAAATGTATTTTGGGCTTTGCGTGTCGTGTGTTTTTTTTTTAGCATCGCACACATTTTCACGCACGCTATTTAATTGTCTTCCCTGCTGCTGTCACACTCCTGCACATGATGAACCAATAATTATGCAAACAACACTGACAATACATTCCTGCCATCATAATTAATTCATTAACGTAATTAGCTTTGTCAATGTAATCTTCGTGTTCGAACATGTGCAGGGCCGCTCTGTGACAGCCACTGATGCATGGCAGTAGTTAAATCCAGTCTAATGTGCTTACTGTGTGTCTGATACAGAACCACAAGTACAATAAATTTAAAAAAAACAAAAAACCTCAATATTATTATTATTCTCTTGCAGCAAGTTAACACCCACCACACAGACACAGTGTTGTTTGGACAGTAATTCAAAGGGAGATGAAATGGCATGAAAGAGAGCTTCAATAAAAGTCTCTTCATGTCGGTGTCTCTCCATTTTCCCCTCTAACACACACACACCTACACCCCAGCGTGTTTCATTTGATTGAGCTTGCACCAAAAGGGAAAAAAAAGAGACAAGAACACAAGCCATTGTTCACAGATATTATTATCTGCTCATCCTCTCCTTCGCGCTCTGTGTTTTTGGAGGCTTTTGTGTGTTTGCGCGCGTCTGTTTGTGCTTCATGTGCACATATGCTGCCAAGTCAACATCTTCTTGTTTTGCGATTTTTTTTTTTTTTCTGTCCTTGGATGAGATCGTCTCCATGGCAAAGAGCAGAAGCTGTTCTTGAAGTATTTTTGTCTCCTCGATTGCATCGTTTATCGTTAGCTTTCGTTGCTCACAGCTTTGTGCTATTTTTTTAATTTTTTGCTGTTACATAACAGTTGATAATGAAGGCACTATTGATCCCTTTGCATTTGCATTGCAGGGGCAGCGTGTAGGTAAATGAGTCCAAACATGAAGAGACATACGTCCTGGAGGAAGAAATAGAAGAATTGTATTTTGCATTGATTTGTTTATGCACAAAACCATACATTGAGTTGATCCAGATGAGAAAAAAAAAAAAAATAACATTAACTGATTTCCAGACATCGTGCTCTGACTGCAAATGTTCACGTTCAGAATTTGTTCAATTCTTTGTAACTGACTGGAGCGGCTTTAGATATTTGCATATCTATTTAAAAATAACAAACAGTAGATTTACAACCGAACGTCGTTTTTATGTGGCACACAGAAATTATTGCATTAATTGTTGAAGGATCATTCTGATGTTCGTACTTGTTTTTTGTTTCATGTTTGTCTGCGGAAAAATCCACATTTTCAGGGATACAGCTGTGGTGTTTCTTAAGCAGGAAATTGAGTAAAACCCTTTTTATTAGTAACAGTTTTGTCACATTTAGTCACATTTTCATATTTACTAATGTAAATATGTGCTTTGGCTAACAGTAGGTCAAAAACTAATTACAACCATGTACTAAAAAATTGTCATTAAGCATTTTTTGACCTTTTTTTATCTTTCACAACGCTTTAAATTAGAAATGGTATTTCAGTCATTCCACATACTAATTGAAGGGAAAAGTAATAGTTATTCATCCCTGTAACTGTCCTTCAGATTAATTGGTGTCTCTGAGCCCTGTGTGAACTTGATTTCTATTAAAAAAAAAAAAAAGAAAAAAAAAAGATAATTAACACAGACATCGCTGCAAGGTGCTGGAAAAACACAGATCTTGATAGGCCTTGAAAAAGTGCTTGAAGTTGACCTCGTCAGAGCCTTGATTTGTAGGTTTGGCTCTCGGTGATTTCATTATGACCACATATCCAAGAAGGTTGGATCTCTGCTGCGTGTTTGATATAAATCAACCTCATGCGTTTCAGCAATAATGATGAGATTTGAAGCTAAGCCTGGTGGATGTTCCCGGTAATGCCCATGTAGAGGATTTTATTGTACCATAGGTTCTAATCGAGCATAATATAATGTTCCCAGGTCGGTTCTGCCCCTTCCTGGTTTTCCGTAAAGTCAAACATTGCACAGTGCTGCTCTTCAAAATCGAATGTCTTTTTGGTTCGGTAGGCCGGATGTGGCCTGCGGACCGCCTGTTGATCATCACTGACACTGTATATACACTTCTATGGACATTTTTCTGTTTCCATACACATAATAATACATATGTAAAAGGGTGAAGAACGACAGTCGCAGTGAGACACAAAAAGTCCTTGTCTCACTGTTCTGCTGTAATGACCGTGCAGCAAAGCTCCAAGTAAACAACAATCTCCCATAATGTGTTTCTCTCCGACTCCGAGAACGGAGCGTTCAGCCGCAGACGGGTCACTCCGCTCCGTGATGAGGTTCCTCGTGGAGGGTTTGTTGTGATAATAGATAAAAGCAGCGACTGCGATTGAAGTCGTCGACTGGATTGCATGAACTAGAACAGCGCGAACGAGCGCCATTGATCTGCTAACGTATAAACTGACTGTCAGACACCAACTGAAGAAACAGTTATTTTTATTAAAGCTATTTCCCCCCTCCAATGATTTCCTTTACAGACACGGAAGCAGTAAGCAGATGGAAAAAGATCAACTCAGAGTGGGTTTCAACACAGTAATGCAGATGAGTGGAAGTTGTGCTTACAGTCACTGTGAAGTAGCATGTGTCGGGTGTTTAAAGTGAGGCTACTAAGGCTGGGAACGGTTCTTTTTCTTTTTTTGTTTCATCACCATGGCAACTGAATTCCTCAGAACGTTGCAACGCTCTGAGCTCTGATCCAGATGTGCGTCTTCTGAAAATCCTGTACCATTCATGGAATCACATTAGTCAGCGGGTATTAGACAGAGACGAAGCCGGACTTTAACCTGCCTTTCACTGGGAAGAATACGTTATACTTGGTAGTCATCAGTTCGGTGTGTAACTAACTTTGTATTTCTCTTCAGTCATCTGGGTGTTTTGTGCTTATTTGCATCTTTTATCGCCCCCAAGAAAAGATGTAGAAAGAGTCTTTCCCTCTATCTGTCCACGCTGGTCTCTGCCAGGCGGTTGTTCATGATGCCAAGGGCGCCCACCCCTCCTGAGAATCCATTCTGGCGTGAACTCGAACTGGACTGGCGTGGGTGACCGACGGCCATTTCCGACAGCTGTTTCTGCATAATAGCGAGGTTGACCTGTGGACAGACAAAAGAGTGGGAGCAATTCACTGACAGGCTCAGACCTCAGCATTTTTGTTTTCTAATTATTGTTTGCCACTACGCTGATTTTAATTTCTTTTAGCCGTAGGCCTTATTACCAAATAGTTCACTCCTCCTGTGAGTTAGTCCGTATTCAGCAGTTTTCCATAAATGTAAGATTGTCTATATGAGAATTCCACTTGTTGCCCCTAATGAGCCTGGAGGGTATTTTAGTCCTCTCTGTATGCTTTTGGTCCGTGGGCTTAAGTAAATCTTCATTTTTAGACGCCTTAACTCGTCTGCAATATTGGGAATTAACAACAATAGTATGAAAAATAAACCCTGATACCATCTCAGATGATATTTGATAGAAGAAAACTTACATCCAGCTATTGTTTATTTATGTGCGTGTTTGATTAACTAAGAAAACTATCATTTTTGGTGTGTTTTAATAAGTTTGTTTCTAAGTTACATTACAACAAAAAACATTTGTTGTCTTCCAACGTCGCGCCTTTTTGTTATCTGTATAGCAAACGTGTGCTGTAGGCTGTGAAACATCTGATCTCTCCTATCTCTTATCGTACACGATCCTTTTACTGCTGCATTTGGTCAAACATTCACAAACACATTCTGGTTTTCTTTATCTGTAGTTTACCCAAAGTCTACAGATTTTCACTGGTACAGTTAATGCTAACATTAACTGTAAGCGCAGCTACGGTCGTAAGCCCTCAGGGGTAAAATGTTTAATTCACTCACGACCTGCGACTGTCACGTAGACCAAAAGTCAGGTCTCTAATAGTCTTGTGTCACAGACAGGTTATTGCTTTATACAATATTCTCACTGACTGGTCGTCAAGTCGAGGAATAAAATAAAGCAGAATCACCTTTTGAATAAACCCTACTGTGAGAGTAACTTCTTTATATTGGAAGTCAAAGCCTTTTTTCATAAAACATGCACTGATAATAAATACAATTCATACAAGTATATTACGTGCAGGGATTTCCGATATTAACTTTTTGCCGATATCCGGTATGCTGGTACTGTGTAAACATTTCCTATTCCGATATCAAACAATACTGATATAGGCCAGGTAATGTTTATTTATTCATCTGTACAAACCACTGTATGAGTATGAGATTAATTAAATGAGCTGCAATGCTGCCATCTAGTGACTTTCACTTTAATTTACAGCCGTTTTTCCCCAAAACTATTTTTAGGTCATACATCATTTAGAAATGACAAAACTCAGGCACAATGCCTGATATCGGGTTTTCATTATCGGAGGAAAAACTTAAAAAAAATTATGATTTTGACACATATTACATAAAAAAAAACAATTATGATTTTGACACATATTACATAATATGCTAATATAGGACCAATAATATCGGTTGGCCAATATTATCGGTCCGATATTATCGGACATCCCTGATTATTGTTAATTAATCTGCGTATCACTCCGGGGACCTTTTGGTTGGAGATCTATGACTTGGTTCATAATGGAGTTTTTACACTGTTTACAACTGTGATGATTTGGTTAAAAACACTGTGAACAGATGGTCACGTCTGACTGTTGTCCTCAGGCTGTTTGCTGTTGAGCTTTTAGAAACATCTATCTCAGAACTAAATCAAAAATGAAACCCCAGGACGGTTGGTTCAGATGGTTGCACATATGTCTATTACGGAGTGTGGAATGTGTCGACTTGATTGGCTGTTTAGCTCGATGCAATTAAGGACAAAAGGCGAGAAATGCGTAGACTCCGGGTCTCAGACCCAAATGATTGTGGGTCACACCGGTGTCAGAAGTTCAATTAAACAAAGAATGAGGTCTGATTTCGGTTGAATCACATGTTCACTAGTTCATATTTATCAGTCTTATACTTTCGTCCTCATCAGTCCATCGGTTCGACCGACGGCACTGAGGTTTTGTCATTCAGCAGCACACATCACTTATTCCTCTCGTATCTGCAGGAGTGGAGCAGTTATGGTAATGTGCAGACAACTGGCACCTCCAAGTGTTATCAGGGCTGTTGGAGATGTGCTATCAGTGTCTTGGGGTCACAGTTAGCATCACCTATTTACATAATGTTAAAAGCCACTTGAAATGTGAGTTTAATTTCCAGGCTGTGTGTGTGTTAATAACGTAAATAATGGCTGACATCACATGAGCTCAATGCCTGCGTTGACAGATGTATCCTGATGGCAGACAAGAATCAATGACGGCTATAATTAGGGATGTGACTGAGAGTGAGCTAAAGTGCTCCGTGATTGCGTTGACTGTGAGTACGGACGACAAAGGTTATCGACTGGATCTTCTGTCTGCTACTCGTGTCATCAGCAAAAGATCTTGTCATCCTTGACAAGCTTGCGAAGCAACGGCAAATTATTCGTCACCACATTAAACGTGTCAAAAGATCATTTCCATGCGCTCCTCACCTTATTGGCTGCCAAGAAATCCCTCATGGAGATCATCTCCCCGGACATGCGGCGCCCGGTGTCAGTCTCGCTCTCGTTCATGGCGTCCGTCTCGATTGAAGGATCCCTGCGGGTGCGCAGGTGACCTGGGGCCACCACGTTCCTTCGAGGATGTCGGTGGGGATGATGACCCCTCCTGGGGAGACAGCAGCGGCAGGGGGTTTCTAGTCTCCTCAGCAACCAGTTAAGGACCTGCTTGATGACGATGGAGATGACGTTGAAGAGAGAGTAGATGCAGCAGACGCCGGTGAGAATGAAGAAGAAGTTTCCCAGTCTGTAAGCCACTGTCGCTTGGCCCTCGTAGACCAGCTTTTGGCTGCTCACCATATCTCCAAAACCGATGGTGCTGAAGGCCACAAAACAGAAGTAAAGTGAGTCCAGATACTCCCAGCCTTCTGCTGCTGAGTACATGAGTGAAGCGCAGCACGACACCAATATGGCTGCCACCCCTAGTATGAGCATCACGCAGTAAACTGAAGGCTTCCAGCCAGCCAGGTCCTCGCCTTTTCTCCCCACGGCTCCGGCCGCTCTGTTTTCCTCGGAGACTTGCCGACCGTTCTGGGGAAGCACGGCTTTGCTGTGGCGTCGCTCGTGGCAGGACTTGAGGACCACGGCGATAACAGTGATGACGCGCTCCAGGAAGAGGTTGAAGAAGAGAATGGTGGCCGCACAGCCCAGCAAACCGTAGAACATCAGGAAAACTTTCCCTCCGATGGTGGCGGGAGTGGTCATTCCAAAGCCTGGATGTGTGAAGTTTTGATCAGCATCAACGTTAATATTATAAATAGGTGATAAACTAGAGCCTCTACATGAGTAGAAGAATATGTCCATGCTCCAAGTCAATCATTAATAGTTTTTTTTAAAGAAGAGACCCATTGAACCAGAGGTCTGAACCAAAGCTGAATTGTCATACAATGAAAATGACAATTGCCCCTACAGCCACACACTCATGCAGGTGTTGCCATTGGTGATCCCCCCCTACCCCCTTGTCTGCCACACTAAGAGAGAGCTGAAGTGTTCGAATCCAAGCACAACACTGCAATCAGTCCCAATAGGAGTGTCCGTTTGTTTGTGCACATGTTTTTTTTCCACTTAATCGATAATCTGCACATATTGTGTGTGTGTGTGTGTGTGTGGTTGTGGTAGTGGTGAGAATGGACAGGTAATCATTACAGTGGTCATTCTCCCTCCAGAACGCTCTCTTCACCCCTCATTAAACACTAAAAGCACAATTGGGTGATGTCTATGTGTCTGCCTCCTCTCCCATCTTTTTTTTTTTTTTGCTTTATTACCGCCATAAACTCAGGGCAACTCTGATCATTAACATTGCCATGACAATTACGGCAACATCTTGCATCCGTAGATCCCTTCCCCAGCTGTAAACCCTTACAACATAAGAGCTTTTTTTTTTTTTCTATTTGGCCAAACACAGATAAACCTTAGGGTACGGTACGGTACCTTGCATCGAGAAACGCACTCTTGCATCTTCGAATTATGCCTAATTGCCGCTTCGCCACAGGCAGGCAGGCTCCTCGTGGAGGCTTTGATTACCTCCACGTTCACATTGATTGTCAAGCTGCTAATTTAGTCAGAATTAGATTTTTCTTTTTTTTTTTCTTCAATGGTGACTAAACTAAATACGCAGCATTTTTTCTTCTTCTTCTTTTTTTCGATCTCTCCTCATAAGACCGATACTTGTTGACGCTGATGTCATCGAACAAGTTGGATGTCACACTTGGTTTGACACTGTGTGACTACACTGTTTCTGGCTGACTGTGTGCTAAGGTGTGGATAATAAATGAGAACTTTAATCGCAGCGTTATTGCACGTCACACAAAAAATCAATATAAAGTACTACAGTATCTGATGACGTGTTCCAGAATAACCTGCTTGTTTAATACAATTGTCCTGCATCTCCTCAGCTGTTCTGCTCGTGTCAAGTGGAGCAGGAGTTTACAGTAATTACAGTTGGATGAACGCAGCTGTCCGTTTGTGAGCGATGACGCAGTCGCCTCTCCATCGATCCGCAGCATGCGTTACTTGTTGTGCCTGATATTATTACACTTCCACTGTCAGTGACAGCGTGTGTTATGTTGTCAGATTTAATGGATTTCTGCGTATTTACACCCTTCATTTACATGCATTGTTGCGTGATGTAGTCATTGTTTTATTATTTATGAACAAATATTAAAATAATATTCTTAATAATAATATTTTTGGCTGATGTTGCTACGGTTTTTGGTATATGAATGTTTGAAAACATACTGTCCACTGTTGTGGTTCTCCTTGTGATAGTGATGTCACCTTTCGTGCTTTCAGTTCTTGTTATGGTTTTTATTTTATTTTTTTTAAAAATTCGGTCCACATAATGATGATAATAATAATGAAAAAAATGCGTTCTAAAATTTCAAAAATTTCAAATTCCAAAAATCATTTCCAATAATAAGAGAAGCTGTTACAAAACGAATAATCTCACCAATGGTTGACACCACAGTTCCCACGAAGTAGAAAGCGCCCGTGAAGTCCCACCGAGGTCTGATAGCGTCCACCCGGATGCCGGCCACGTTCGCCTCCTCGTAGTTCCTCAGGAAGTTCTGCAGGTCCTTCTTGCTCAGGTTGTACTTGAGGCTGAAATGCTCGAACCTCTGCGCCCAGCGCTCCTTGGCTTCGCGCTCCTTCGGCTGTTCGAGCGCCGAGAAAACCGCGGCTCCACAGAACAGATAGACGATGATGAACAGCGCCAGCAGCAGGAACCTCGCGTTATCCTCGTTTACCGGACTGGAGCCGCAGCAACAACCGCTCCTACATGCCATTATGTTGCTGTTGTTGCCGTGCTGGAACTGCAGTGATGGATTTGTGGCATGATGCTCTGGAAATAAAGACGAAAACAAATCTTAAACAAAACGTGATTTTTTTTAAATTTTATTTCTCTCCAGACAAGTACGGTGAAGTGGACTTACAGTTGTGGAGACTCGTGTCCAAGACGATCCGTTTTCGGTTAATTTGCCATTATCCAAATACGCGCCTCAGCCTTTAAACAGCCTCAGCCAAACGCCGTTACTCTGAGGTTGGTCGGTTCATCCTCGATTCAACAAGTGTCTACTGTCAGGTCTGCGTTGGTAAGACACACAACGAGGGAGGCGGAAACCTGTGGACGGACGGCTCTGTTACGCACGCTGAGCCTGCCTCTCCAAGAAAGTCTCCACCCCTGAGCGCGCGTTTTACGCACGGCGGTTCCACCGCAGCCGTGCGTAAAAAGCTCGAATCTATGCCCAAGTCCACAGACCTGCTGATTCCAAAAGTTCTACAACGCGTCATATAAAACGCAGCGCACGTTCAACCAACTTCCCTGAGATGCCCGACCCAAGCCGACTTCACAGGTTGGATTCTAACGGTACAACTCTCGTTTGCAAATCGATATCAATATTACTTGACCTTTCCGGGCTCTGACGAGGGATTCATGCACCGGCCCACGCTTATACCCGGGGACGGCGTGGGCAAATGTCACCGCGGAAACACGGTTTCGAAATGAATTATTCACGATCAGAGCAGAGACAACAAAAGCTATTTCTGTAAAGTTGGAGGTTAAACAAAAAAAAAAAAAAAAAAAAAAAAGTACGCACGACGCATACGAGACAACTTCAGCACCACGGACAGCGCACCGCCGGCCTCTGCATCTGTGTTGAAACATCCAAAGCGTTTTTTTTTTTACATTAACTTTATAACACACATTTGTTATACATTTTTGGTGACAGGTAACTGAGGTTCTCTCGATCCATGATCACATAAGCTGGTTCATGATATATTTATGCCAGTCTCCTGTATTTATTTGTATTTGTCATATGGATTTTAACGATTGTTTTTATGCATTACACTGATGTCAAATCCAATCGTGACCAGTAACAATGTGTTTGGAGCTATGGAACCTTCTATATGACTAACCTCTTGTTAGGTGGAGTGTGTGTGTGTGTCTGTGTGTGTTTTGAATTGAGTGTTGCTCATCCTTCCGCTTCACAATAGTACATATAAACAATGAGCTGTTACTTCATGGACAAACAGGCAAATGACTATTTCATTTTATCTCCCCCTCCCCTCCCTGAGATCTTGAATGGAGAATCGTGTGTGTGTGTGTGTGTGTACCTTTGTCAAGACAAGTGTCTCACACTGCTTAGTCACCGTATAACCTCAGTGTTTATTTGGTTCAATGGGATGCCAGGTTTTGTTTCATTTTGTTGTGTAACTTTTTATATAAATCTCTCTCGAAAAAAGAAAAAACAACACAATGACACACAGAGTAGACGTAAACAGATACAACTGGTGAAAACACTCCTGTATTCAAAGGTTGTTTGTATGTTATCTCATGTGCTGTTGTCCTCCCTCTCCTCGATTGTCCTCGCCTCCGTGGAAAAACCAACAGCTGCTCTCTCTCCGTCAACCTTCATCTATATTGTCCTCCCTCCCCTCGATTGTCCTCGCCTCCGTGGAAAATGGTAAACAATTTTCTATAAGTCTTTTATTTAATGTGAACAATGACAGGACTCCGTACAAACAAAAAAAAAACCCAAACATTTATTTTACAATTTAATCTTCCCACAAAGGTGTTTTCAAGAAATCAAAACATAGTTTTTTAGTTCAGGCCAGAGAAAGACAGGTGGAGAATTCAGATTTGTGAAACACCTTTACAGAGAAAAGCACAGAGCACAATGGTACGACGTGGTGAAAGTGTGTGTGTTTCCCAGCTTTTGTAGTGTTACACAACTGACATAGTAGCAGCAAGAGAGAACTTGTTTTTATGTTATCTTAAATCACGGATACTTGAGATTTACTGAGAGTACGATGAATTATTCCTTTGAGGTCATTCGCCACACGTTCAGACGTTCGGCGACGATATCTGACTGAGCAGAGAACCTGCTGACGAGTGACCGAATTATTACAAAATGCTAAATAACTCGTAGTGATTTATTGTTTATCCAGCAGCCCTTAGCTCTGTTTCCATGGAAATACAGGGCCAATATTCTAATAGACCTAAGTTTATTCATGAGCCGAGCATCTTTCAACACGCTGACCGGGGCCTTGGCACGATCCTTCAGTTTCATTCTACGTTGATGATTGGGTTTTGGTGACGGTGTGTTGCGGTCCCCTCTGGCCACTTTGACCTCTGCCACGGCCGGGTCGTCCGCCAATGTCACAGCCATTTGTTCATCAGCCTCTGTAAGTGAGCACTTCACCTAACCTGGCTTTATAAGCAGCATCATTAGGACCAGAGCTCTAATCTGTCATACACAGAGACAGAAACTATTTTTTTTTTGTTGGTCAACCCTGCAGCAAGATTTGCTTTGCAAAAAAAAATCTAAAATTCAACTTTGACTTCACTCTCTTTAAGAATTATAGTCAGGTGTTAGACATAATGACATGTTTTTTTCCCATTGTGAGTCAGGAATCTGCTGAGTAAAAACACGCCACACCAGACCAGTTATTTACCATTTAATCCGTGAAGCGACCGAAGCAACGAAATCCTCCTCTTTGTCCTGTGCCAAGAAAAAGGAAAAGCAGAGAGTTCAGTTTAATTTCCACCTCTCGACTTCTCCACCAAATTTCTGCTGCAGTGACTTACTGAAAAAAAAAAAAAAAACCCTGTCAGTGAGGTCGAATTGACTTAATGTCTACAGCTGGCAGCAGGATTCAATATGATTCCTGTAGAAGAAACAACCGGCTCACCGAACTACTACAGCATTAAAATTGACATTTACTAAGTGTGCATTTTAAATACACGTTAATTAAACTATTACCGGATTAACATACAAGCAGTGTGATCCTCGGGCTCCTTTTTTTTTTTTTTTTTTTTTTTTAATTTTAATTTACCCCCCGCTTTTAATGGGCTTTTTTCCCCCTCTTCATCCTGCATTAACATGTGTTTTCTGATTAAAACGCAGGCAGCTGATGGATCTGATCCAGTTGGTGTTGTGCTCTCTCACTATAGGCTGCAGCTGAATATCACACTGTAGGTAAACAACCTACAAATACAGTCGGTATACAATACATCTGTTGTTGTATGTGCAAACTACCAGCCTCTTAATCATTATATACTGTATAGAGCACATGTATGCTCTAGATCTAGAGCATTGTTTCCCAAAGACTGACTTCATCATTATATATACAGCACATGTATGCTCTAGGTCTAGAGCATTGTTTCCCAAAGACTGGGTCGCGACCCTCAGGTGGGTCGCAAGAGTTTTTTGTTTTTTTTTGAGGTCGTCTCGCATCATGTTTCCCAGGAGTTTACGAATTTAAAGTTAAAACGTCAATAGACATTAAAGTTAAAGGGAAACACTGCTCTGCAGGTGGTATCAAACTCCTGGCCCCAGGGCCACCTCTGGTCCGTGACTAGATGTCAGTAGTAATTCTGCTTCTGAGCTAGATAAAAACAAATATTTGCAGTTCTTATTTTTTATTTCTGTTTTTGTAGTCCTATCTACAAAACAAGGGGGACGTTGGTTCACGAGTAAAGAGTAGTAACTTCTTAGTGAGTACTTACTAAGTATTACAGTGTACAGTAATACTTACAGTAATACAGTACAGTAATACAGTGTCTGATGATTCGGACGGACAAGCGTCTCGCTGTAAGCTAAGGGCGCTCCAAATGATATGGCTTTTTATAATGTTTCATTTTTTCATTCCGTGGGATCCATCCGCTGCTGTTCAAAGGTTTCGGTGTCTTGTTACAGTGTTGTCTTTGTCCAGGCGGATCAGAAACATCATAAAACACCCTC